ATAGCTTTCACTACCCTACAAACGTCGCTTGGCTCGCCGCAAGTTCGACCCCTTCAGGACTCGTCGGAAAGCGGGGCTCGAGGTCTGATCAACCGACGAAAGCTGTCTGCTCTCGACGAACGGTTTGCTTCGCCTGCTCCTCTTCATTTCATGTATCCCTCCTTCCATGTATCACATATGCAGCTGACACCTGCAGTTCTTATTCGGACGAACTAAACATTACTGTCAGCTCCAGGTGGGTCTGGGTGTCGTCCTTCCGCCCTCTTTTCGCTAATTGAGTCTGTTGCACCCCAGGAGCTTCGTTGACTTCGACATGTATGTCCCGCGTTTTCATCCTCCGTCTTGATCGTATGATTGTTCCTCTCGATACTTATATCCTTATTCTCCTCCTACAGGTCTCCGATATGTCTGCGCTTTGCCATCACCCCTCCGTCTTGATCGTGTAATTGCTCCCGTCGGTTCTTACATTGTCATTCACTTCCTACAGGTTAGACCCAGCGAAGGGAGGGGCGGAGAGAGGTGTCGGGAGTCGCGGTGTGGCCGCAAGGCGAGGTCTGGCCAGCCTCGCCTTTCAATCACATCCGCCTCCAACATCGGGAGCAGCCGAGGGAAACGGGCTGGAGGTGCGCATACTCCTCTTATGCTGGCGTGATTTATGCTGTCGTAATGTCAGTATGACATGCCACATCTTTGTTGTTGTAGTGTCCGTCGACTGATTGAGACGAGGCTTGCCGCGTTTGCCGTCGTCTGATCTCCCATGCTGACGCTTCGCCCTGACAGCCCCATATGCTCGGCGACTGGTATGATCCTTTGCGCAATCTGCCGCCGCGATGAAGGGACTTATCTTTCTGCGCTTCCTCTGATACGACACTGTTTGTGGCAGCTGGCAACTGAAATGTCCTGATACTCATCACTGTTTCAGTACAGACGCAATTCCGATTGGTGTGCTGCTCCGTGTTTATCGATTCAAGTGATGAGGGAGGGCTGTATGGGGGCTGCGGTGTGACTGCAAGGCGGGGCCTGGCCAGCCTCGTCTTGCAGCCATATCCCCCTTGCCAGAGGGGAAGGAGGACAAGGTAGGAGAGGAGAGAAAGGGAGCGAAAAGGAGTACGACGCGTGACAGTACCATACTCCTCTTATGCTCGCGCGTTTTTCTGCAGCTGCACTCACCCGCCCTTTCGTACTCGCACAGGCCCATGAATGTGTGTGGGAAGGGAGGGTTGCGCCATGTTCGCGCCCGTTATGCTTGTCAGTAGGCCGGCCATTCCGCGGTAGTTGTTTCGCTGATCTCGCTACAGGTTCCCACGGACGCTCCGCGGCCGTCCTTGGCCGTCTTGTTGTTCTGACCCATATCACTTGGTGCAGGAGCTGACTTTAAGTTGGGGGAGGGGCAGCTGGGAACGCGCATGGCTGTGCGGCGAGGCCTGGCCAGCCTCGTCGTACAGCCCTGTTCGCTCTCATCTGCCATTCTAATTGGGCAGGTAAGCAACCCATGAATCTCCCATTGCTTATAGGCATGCTGACTTCTCGCATACTCTCCCATCCAGTCGGGGCCGTGTCCGAGGGACGATCCTGATGGTGCATTGAGGGCTTCCTTGGCAATTAATCGGAGGCTGACATGCCTACATGCTCCCAGCCTTCATCTCGGTCTTGGGCGAACATGTCGTTGTCCAGGCGTGCCTATGCGTAATCATGTGTATTGCTCTCGAACGAAAATGAACGGCAGGCTCTTTTCGCAGAACAGATACCTGTACACCACAATTCAATGTCATACGAGACTGACGCCGGCCGACGCCGTAGCATTACTGTCCTCCTTCGAGGGCATGCCTTGCTCTATAAGGATGTAGCTTCGAAGGATGCCGTACCAACGACAGACTCGGATGATAAATTAAAGAGCGCACGGCCTCGGGATCAAAAGCCGGTGATATCGTACTGGAGAACAACGAATCGGCGTCGGTGCCATGCCGCTTCTCGAAGAACCCGCCGTGCGGCTGACGGAGCTCATGTCGGTCTGTCCGCCCGTTCATTGGGCCGAACGCATCACAGGCGCTCCCAGAGACGCACCAGGCAGCCATGAAGCCTTTTTAATGACAACATCTACTCTTTTCCGAGGAACGCGCGGCGGCCAGAGGCACGTCAAAGATCGGCTATGTAAACTCAACCACTCAAATCTACCTCGCGGGTCGTGAACGCAGCTCATTAATTTTAGAGCATCGAGGGGCCGCTATGAAGTGTCTCAGGCAGCCGTTCCGCAGAGCTTAAGCCTCGAGCTCAAGCTTCAAAGCTTGAAGTTGGACACTACCGACTGTTTCCGCAGTGCCGCTCGGCCGGGGCTGCATTCTAATCAATCTGCTGCATGCTGCGCGTCTCTGATTTCCCCTAGGCCAAAAAGTTAAATATCGTACCTAAAAACAAAGATAAGAGTAGGATCCCGGTGCCTCGGTACGCCTGTCGCACTAGCCGGCAAATAATTTATCGAGGCTCGAGCAGTCGCGCTGCCATAATTCAAACACCGCGAGCGAAAAATATCTGTGTCATTGGACGCGACCGCGCGTCACGGAGAATTGGGCAGCGGAGTCCAATGACGCTAACCTACGATGGCCCGACAAATTGTGGGGTCGAACGTTGAGGGGCGGGGCGGCGGGGTGTGCCCCCCTCCCCCCGGTCTCGTGGCGTGCTCAAGAGTCTTACAAGCGGAGCCCGAGACGGTCGCTCACGACGCCTAATTATTTCTACTCGTGCGTCTCCAGAAAAAGGCTGGGTGATGCGGCCGTGGAGGGGAAGATCCAGCGATGCATATCACTTAGAATGCGGATCAAAG